TGTTCATTAGTTTTATTCTTTAAAACAGTAATTGTCGTTTGAATTACTGAAACTATTGAACATACTTGGTGGTATATTAAGGAGATAGAAATAAATAATGAATAAGCTAGTATAAGAGTTAATGAAAAAGGTAGTTATCTCGTTATCGCTGGAAACTATTTTAGATCTGGTGATAAGCAAATACTTCGATTATTGCTGGAGTGCCCAGGTTCCCAACTTTGGGGAAAATTTATTCCATTTTGGGGAAGCCTCTATAGTAAATCATGGGGAAATGAGACAAAAAACCCAAAATTTCTCCAGACCTAGGGAAATCCCCAAACTTTCCCCAAAGCTGGCAGCCTGTGTGGTTTATTATTAATTCCATGTTTCTCTTATAAGAAAGAGGGTTGATGTAGCACTAAGTCATATTTTTGCCTTAAGTATATCCCAGTTTTTAATGCTTGTATGCTTATGGTATTCTGATCTGTTCTTTTTTGGAAGGGGCTAGATTTATGATTAGGTTTACAATATTCCCGTTCATAATCATGAAGGGATATAGAAAAGAGGAAGGTCGAAGAACACAGCGCAGAGAATTGGAAGCAGACATGAAAAGGCTTGGATGAGAAGTGCTGGTGGGCGGCCTATGCTCCCACACGAGAGGTAGCAGGAGTAAGTTAGTGACCCCTGTCTATGGGATGTGTATAAAGTTTCTGCCTACAGCAAGAAATTATTATTATGTTGAGGGATATCAGTTTTGTTGAAGTTTTCATTCACAGGAGTCGGTTAGGCTTCTTTCGTGTTGCAGGGTTCCTGTTTAGTAGTGAATGGTCGTAGATGGTTCTAGGCTTAGAGACATAAGGTAACTTGTTCTAGTAGTGTGGTGTTCCTGACTTGTCATATTAACGAGTGTGGTTTCCTGTTGTTTTGTATATTTTTTGAAGTAGTGAGGTGACAACCTAATTGCTTGTGTAGTTTGGCTTATTTCTGTTACGTTTAGTTCTAGTTTGTAGCATAAAGTTGTTGTAAGTCACTTAATAGCTGAATTGAGATTTTATTTGTTGACTTGGTTTATTTATGGCCTTCCAGAACAGATACACTTAATTAAGCGGACTATCAGTGTTCATTTAGTCAAGTTGGTTTGGTGCTCCGGAAAGTCGAGTTGATAGAAGTAATGGGTTATATAGATAGCAACAGAATACTAAAATTATCTCTAATATTTACTCTGTAAGTGAAAGCTGAAGCGTCGATCCTGCTGTTCATTTCTAATCTGACTGCCGTGTTTGAGTACACAAAAGTGATAGATATAATGGGTTGGTTGGGTTGACAGTTAGCCTCGTAGGCACTTCTTGGATGACTGATACTCTGTTCGGAGTTTACGTTTCGGACATAGATGAGTAGGCATTTTCCGTTACTATCAGTGATGTTTTCGGTCATAATGCTTATGGCTGAGCTCATGTGTTGCTGGGCTGGTTTCCTTTCGAAGAATGGGGGTACTGCACGACACAGATTAGAGGATGCGCATTCGTTGCATTCTTGTTTAGCTTTTCATCATTGTGAGGATTGGTGTTTGATAGTGATGCTTACGTAAATGGCTTGCAGTATTTTTCCCTTGAATTATGTTTTTCGCTATTTCATTAGTTGATGATGGTGATGGCAAGTTTTAGGGTGATTATATTAGTTCTGGTTTCGAGTCAGAATTTGATATTAATATTAATCTTACGAGCGTATCTTGGCTTAGCGGGTTTTTTGTTAACATTATTTCATGGTGCTAGGAGCGACTTCAGTAACTTATCGGTCTGATGTTGCTTTATTTGTTCTTCTAAGGTGTTTTTGACTTGTGTGTTCAGAGTAGTGTCCGTTTATTTTATTTCATATATTAGGGTTTAATTGTGATGGGTTCAACAGTTGCTACTTATGAATCTTTTATGATTACGGATGGTTGTATTGAATTTTCTAGGTTCGGAAGGCTAGTAATATTGGTTGTTTTTATATTTGGATTGTTGAGTGGTTTTTGACTAATTATACGCTGAAAACATCTTGGGTTCGGAGATGGATGTGTTTAGATCATTTGGTTGACTAGTCTTAAGCTTGTACTTAGTTAGTTTGGTAGTAGCTGAGTGAATAACGTGATGGAGCTTGAGGCGAACGGTACTGGGTTCGAGTTACGGAGTGGACATCAACTATGGAGTACAGGTGCATGCAGCTGACGAGTCTTAAGTAGGAAGAAACGTGCGTCCTGGATTCCACAGCTAGCCATCATCCATCTTTGCTAGAATTCATTGGTTACTGTTAGGCTATGTGCATCCAAAGTGATTTAATTCCTTAATATCATCTACACACAGGTTTTAAAGTAGTTTAATTGCAACTAGTAATGAAGTCAATGACGCGCCCTTCACCATGACGTTTAAAGTGATACATACTAGCGTGGAATCTCAATATGAATGTTAAAAGTACAATGCAGGAATATTCGAAAAACGAATCCGAAATATGACGATACACGCACCACGAATTCCAGTCCCCAGTCGCACTTACTCAAAATTGAGATTTAGTCAACAAATAAGGAATTAAAACAATTTCAATTCAGTTTAGCTGAATGTCAACAAACAAAAATAATCTGTGGATAACTTTGAAAACAGCAAAATTCGATGAGACTATAATTTATGGAGGACCTTTGAGAGGCACTAAAGTGACCCTGAGAATGTGCACCTACTTACTGGAACTAAATGGGGATTATGAAGTAGTTTGAAGAATTAGGATTATGATTTACAATTGATGGTTAGGATTAGGAATTAGATTCAGGTTTTTCATCACGAAGTGACACCAGTTAAGATGCCTAAATGACATTTAGCCAAACGGATGAATGGATTTCGCGCCAAAATCCGAACTCTGTCATCCTAAACCTGATTGACGTGTCCACAAATTATAGTCTTGTATTAACCTTGGGTAATTGCACATATTATAACACACATATCAAACGTATGTAAAACCTTATCACTATAAAATTTTAATATTCTATATTTATTTACGTGAATAATTCGTTAAAATGTTTTAACTATGGGAAACTGGGAACCATAAAAATGGATTATAAACTATAACTTGATAGAATAATAATATGAAACACGTGAATAATAATAACAATAAAAGCATTTTTCCTTAATGACTTGTGGAAAAACGAATGAAATTCGGGTCGTTCGTTATGATGCTCTGTAAATTAAAATATCGACGAACGTACTAATTTGCATAATAATAACTTCATTCAAGCGAGAAGTCTAAACTATTCATAAAATATTAAATAATACGAGAAATGAAATTATTCTGATAGTAATAGGTGATTATAGGTAGTCGATAAAAACCTTGAGTCTACATTTTGTGCTATTTAGAACTCATCAGTAAGATGTACCCTTAGTGTTTAGGGAACTGGTGTTATCTAGTGGATTTAATTCCGAGTCAGCTATATTTTTGCGTGTGTGATTTTCTAAAAGTGAATTGTATCTGTTATATGCAGAGTTTAAGTCGTTGTCTAATACCCTGTTTCATTTCTGTAGTCTGTAATTCAATAGTGGGAGACTGATCTCGGTTTTGTGTAAATAATCTTTTACTGGACATCAAGTTATGAACCAGCAATTAGTATTATACCATTTCGTGCGATCATGTAACTTATCCAATCAATAATAATCAGTATTATTTTTATTATTATTATAACAGTTTGTTCTTTTCCATAATGTCGACTTAAATTGAATCACTTTTTATACAAAGGAAAGAAACAACTCCTTTATAAATTATTGATCCAGAAAACCCCTCTAAACAGACTATATGAAGACTAGTGATTTTACATGTTTTTCTATGGACGAAGTGATAGGGAGTTGGGGTTTGAACCTATTATTTACTAATAGTAAACCGCGCGCTTTGAAAATTAGACATAATAAAAGTGTATCAACATGCGAAGCTAATGGGAAAGATTTCGAAAGTGCAACCTACTTAAAATATCAAGACAAACAAATAATAAGAAAAGATTAATTCGTTGTTATTGTCGTAGTAAAATGCCAAAGCTTTTGACAGCGAAAATATTTTTGAGAAGCTAGCTATGGGATTAAAACAAAAAAGTACAGCGCAAAATAGTAATATTCATATGATTATAACATAATTAATCAGTTATATCCACAAAAGATACGCAATGGAATCATAAGTAATCACCATAAATACATTGTCACTAAATCCACTTTTATTACTGATCAATATATAAGTAGCTAGTTAAATGTAACAAAAAATAAAGGATGGAAATCTCAATAATTAAAGCCTAACAGTTCCTGAGGTATTTCAGTTAATAACCAATTAACGAACATTGAGTAAATTAAAAATATTTGGCTGAATCTCAAATTTTAACTTCATCATATCCATTTAAACTCAAGCGATTAGTATTTATCAAGTAATAGACTGAGTTTAAATGATTTGGAAGTTTAGGGAGTCAATTTATAAATGATAACTCTGACTGAACTTTAAAAGAGAGAACCTATGAATTTTACGTTAAGTGAACTATAGTTACTGAAAAAAGGTTATTATCTATTTGTGCAGTTACAAATAAAAAAGCCAAAAATGAATGTATATATTATCAAATAGCCGCTAAGTTTAGACTTCTACACGACAAGTTTATTAGTTGGTATAATATCGGTTGCATTTACATGAGTTGAGAAACTCAGTAATTAAAAAATTGTGAGGGATTTACACAATAATAATATATTACTGAGATCTAATTACTATGAAGCCCATCTGAAGAAAAATCTTTCTTTTTATATTAAATAATCGTATTTCAGAAACTATTCCTCGTGATTGACTAAAATAACTTAAATATATCATCTTCAAATTCAAAACAATTAGTTCCTATGATAAATTTCGATAATGCAATGAGAAGATGGTTATCAGAATTATGTGATATTTTTGCGCAACACATTACGAACAATCTGATCACACATATACTTGTTAAGACATTTTTATATGAAAATGATAAGCGTATGCGAACTCACATCTTTAGTTCAACAGAATTAGAAGAGAGAAGTGTTACCATGACTGGACTTATCTGTGATAAAGATCCATCTGACAAACGGGAACACTTGCTCATTGAATTCCTACAATAATCCGAAAGTTGGCTGAACAGTAGTAAGAATTCCAAATACGATATGTCATAATGCTCAATGTGTAGGTATATACCATCAGTGGGGTTCTTTCTACGAATAATTAGCATTTTAAGGTATGTTATCTTTAAACAAAGCAAAGGAAAAGTCATCCTAGAAATAGCACTTACTGTCCTGACAGAAGAACCTTCTGTGCATGCGATTGAAATCAAAAAATTGGGAAAGGATACGCGAGAAATGAAGAAGATTATCTACAAAAAGATCGTACATATCATATCCTAAATCCAAACAGATTATTGATACTAAACTAGCCACCTGTCAGGTTATTGATAATGAAATAACTGCCCATAACTAAGGTCTACGAGGATTGTCAATAGCCCGAACAATTTTGACAGCGCTTCAGTTTATTCTTTTCACTATTCCTTGTACTTTCTTGTCTCCTAGATATCAGATAATAAATTTTTCGTATCTAATAACAAATAATGACACTTCAGTATAATGAAATATTGTCTCTTGATATATGGGACAGTAAAATATGTTAGTGTTTTCAATATTTAGGTCCTTTGTTACAGTGAAACTCCGCCTGTAGCTCTTCTAGAGTTACTGCCGGTCCCAAGCCCGGGTAAAGGAGGAGGGTTGGGCATGGGGTTAGCGTCCCCATCCCGTAGAAAACTAACTCGCTAAAAAAACGCTTACCAGAAAAAATAATTCAAACCATTTTAACTCTGCCCTGAGAGTTAGAAGGTCTTCATTTAGAAGAATTATGACGCTTCATGGTGAAAGCCGAGTTCCTTCGGAAGCCACGAGGCCGATGCCCCTTCTAACAACCAGAGCAAAAATTTTTATAGGTACATGGAACGTCCGAACAATGTGGGAAACCGGGAAGACCAGTCAAATAGCAATGGAAATGAGGAGATACAACTTAGCAGTACTGGGAATCAGCGAAACTCACTGGACCCAAGCTGGACAGAAAAGACTAGCTACGGGAGAGATGCTGCTATACTCCGGTCACGAAGAGGAAAATGCTCCACACACTCAGGGAGTTGCTCTAATGCTGTCCAAAGTAGCACGAAATGCACTTGTAGGATGGGAATCCCACGGATCCAGAATCATCAAAGCATCATTCAAAACAAAGAAGGAGGGGATCTTAATGAATATTATCCAATGTTATGCACCCACCAATGATAGCAACGACGACATTAAAGATCAGTTCTACGAGCGGCTGCAGTCAGTCATTGAGAAATGCCCAAGAAAGGACCTCACCATTCTAATGGGAGATCTAAATGCCAAAGTCGGAATAGACAACATCGGATATGAAGATATTATGGGGCAACATGGACTGGGAGAGAGGAACGAAAATGGAGAAAGATTTGCAAATTTGTGTGCATTCAACAAATTAGTCATAGGAGGCACAATATTTCCACACAAGCGTATACACAAGGCTACATGGATCTCACCGGACCACACTACAGAGAACCAGATAGACCATATTTGCATCAACAAAAAATTCCGAAGGACAATGGAAGATGTGAGAACCAGGAGAGGAGCTGACGTAGCTTCAGATCACCACCTAGTTGTAGCCAATTTGAAACTGAAGCTAAAAAAGAACTGGACAAGTGGACAAACAGCAATACAAAGGTTCAATACAGCCTTCCTTCGAGATACTGTCAAACTCAATGAATTCAAGATAGCTCTCAACAACAGGTTCCAAGCCTTACAAGATCTACTGAAAGAAGAAGAAACTACTATGGAGGACAACTGGAAAGGCATCAAAGAAGCATTAACTTCAACGTGTCAAGAGGTTCTCGGTCTAAAGAAATACCATCATAAGGAATGGATCTCTACAGAAACACTGGACAAGATCAAAGAAAGGAAGAACAAGAAGGCAGCAATAAACAACAGCCGAACACGAGCAGAGAAAGTCCAAGCACAAGCTGAATACATAGAAGCAAACAAGCAAGTGAAGAGGAGCATTAGAGCTGACAAGAAGAAATACGTGGAAGAATTAGCAACGACGGCAGAAAAAGCTGCTAGAGAAGGAAATATGAGACAACTTTACGATACAACGAAGAAACTAGCAGGGAAATACAATAAACCAGAGAGGCCGGTCAAAGACAAGGAAGGCAAGCCAATCACTGAAATTCAACAACAGCGTAACAGATGGGTAGAATACTTTGAGGAACTCCTGAATAGGCCGGCTCCTATGAATCCACCGAACATCGAAGCAGCACACACAGATCTTCCTATAGATGTCAACCCACCAACGACGGAAGAAATTAGAGCGGCCGTCAGACAAATCAAGAACGGGAAAGCAGCAGGACCCGACAACATACCAGCTGAAGCACTGAAATCAGACGTCGAAGTAACCACAAGCATGCTTTACCCTCTATTCAAAAAGATTTGGGAGGAGGAACAAGTGCCAATGGACTGGAAAGAAGGGCACCTCGTCAAGATTCCAAAGAAAGGAGATCTGAGCAAATGTAAAAACTACAGAGGCATTACACTACTGTCAATACCAGGGAAAGTCTTCAACAGAGTGTTGCTGAACCGGATGAAGGATGCAGTAGACGCTCAACTTCGAGATCAACAAGCTGGATTCCGTAAGGATCGGTCGTGCACAGACCAAATTGCAACACTACGGATCATCGTCGAACAATCGGTTGAGTGGAACTCGTCACTATACATCAACTTCATTGATTATGAAAAGGCATTTGACAGTGTAGATAGGAGGACATTATGGAAACTTCTCCGACACTACGGAATTCCTGAGAAGATTGTCAATATTATCCGGAACTCATACGACGGACTACAGTGCAAGGTCGTGCATGGAGGACAGCTGACAGATGCATTCCAAGTAAGGACCGGGGTCAGACAAGGCTGTTTACTCTCTCCCTTTCTCTTTCTTCTGGTGGTCGACTGGACTATGAAGACCTCGACATCTGAAGGAAAACACGGAATACAATGGACAGCTCAGAACCAATTAGACGATCTGGACTTCGCAGATGACCTAGCCCTCCTATCACGTACACACGAACAGATGCAGATGAAGACACCCAGTGTAGCAGCAGTCTCTGCATCAGTAGGCCTTAGTATACACAAAGGGAAAACGAAGGTCCTCAAATTCAAAGCGGAAAACAGCAATCCAATCACTCTTGATGGCGAAACTCTGGAAGATGTAGAATCCTTCACATACCTGGGAAGCATCGTCGATGGACAAGGAGGTTCAGATGCAGACGTAAAGGCGAGGATTGGCAAAGCAAGGGCCGCATTCCTACAATTGAAGAACATATGGAATTCAAAACAACTTTCAACCAATATCAAAGTGAGAATCTTCAATACGAACGTCAAGGCAGTTCTACTGTATGGAGCTGAAACTTGGAGAACTACAACAACCACAATCAAGAAAGTACAAGTATTTATAAATAGCTGTCTACGCAAGATACTCAACATCCATTGGCCAGATACCATCAGCAATAGCCTTCTGTGGGAGAGAACAAACCAACTTCCAGCTGAAGAGGAAATTAGGAGAAGACGATGGAAATGGATAGGACATACATTACGCAAATCGTCAAACTGTATCACGAGACAAGCCCTAACTTGGAATCCTGAAGGGAAGCGGAAAAGAGGAAGGCCAAAGAACACATTACGTCGGATAATAGAAGCAGATATGAAAAGGATGAGTTACAACTGGAAGGAGCTGGAAAGGATTGCCCAGGACAGGGTTGGATGGAGAATGCTGGTGAGCGGCCTATGCTCCTTCACGAGGAGTAACAGGCGTAAGTAAGTAAGTAAGTAAGTAAGTTTGTTACAGTGAACATAGTTTCAATAACCGAAAGTACAGAACTTTATGACGGAGATTACATGTATCTAACATCTAGATATAAATGATTATTCTCTTGACGTCATTAGACATTCATTCGCTGTGGGTATTTGACGTTTTTACACACAATTTTCATATTCTAGTATTGGGCTCGAAAGTAGAGTATATACAAATGGACTGAATATTGTTATGGAGGAATGGTAACTCCCAGAACTGATTGATGGATTGTCATTATATATTGTTACATCTAGAGCTTAGATTCTTGATATACCGCATACAACTTGAGCACTCGAACGTTAGAACCCTCCAATTCGCAAATGAGAAGACAGAAGATGAGTGAGAAGGAATGCTATTCCAAACAGTTTCAAATATGTTACGAAGCTCTCAGGTATTTATAGTCTTTAGTAAAAGCGAAATCATCATTATAGTCATGCAATCCACAACCAGTGGTTTTTAGCGTTTGTCCAATAGGGAAGCTGCACGTCGAGGTTCTGGAATGTTCTTCCAAAAGATGATTGAATGAAATGTCTTTGGCTGTTTCTAAGCTACTTAGAGCTTCCTCGAGTTCACCCATGGGCCGTCCTCACATATATATTCTCATTATTAACTAGATTACCATCTCTATGTATTCCTATTATCATAACCTTTCAGTTAACCCATAAACTGTCATACGACTCATTGTTCCTAATTTGTTGCCAATCGATTGCTCAAATTCTTTCCTAATCACAGCTGCTTTTGGCTTCTTTATGTATAATTCTTGTTCTTCATTTTATCGGTATGTGTGTATAAACCACGTCTGTTTGAAATATAAATGTGATAGAAGCTGATCGCTGATTTTTGGACCCAAGAGACGGCATAGAGAGAAAAATCGAAGTAAAGAACCAAGAGGTGTAGTTGACCGACTTAGAGATACCAAGCTATAGATCAAATAGTAGGCGCGAAACATAACAAATTAGAATTAGGATTTCGACTGGTGACTTGGTACAACAACAAATATGGTCTAACTGTAAAAACTTTCAAGTATGGCGGGTTGTAATCACTAATTAGACAGGTTGAAATATAATTTTAAGAATTTAAGAATTGGATGGGACTTTAATAGACTTGCTTTCCACAACCATTAGTTTAAAATTGCAAGCGATAACAAAAAGCTTAGGATACCTAAAATACCGCCTTCTATAACCATTATACATATTTAAACATATTATGTTGTTCTAAAATCAAAGTTGTATTTTCTACGTTTTGTAATGAATAATTGTAACTATTGATAAGAGAA